CCTTACCAGTTCTTGTCTTATATGTACCCAATAAAAAAGCTTATCCCTTACAGGAAATAAATTTATATAGGAGATACTTCTTAAAAAACATTGTTGAACATACAAATCCACATTGTCATCCTGTCACATTTCTGCACTACAGAATGTGAAGTCCCTTGTACTGTGGGCAGGGAGTTCCCTGGGATTCTGCACTGTTTCAGGTGTGTGCATTTCCATTCCCTTTAAGCTGTTCTACCTTCGCACCCAATTATTCATCTTGTCTTTAGAAACCCTAGTCCAATTCGTAATACCAAGTCTTGGGGTTTGTTTTTTTGTTTCAGGTTTTTTTGTTTGTTTTTGTTTTCAAAATTTAATACCTTTAAAAAAATTCTAGCTCAGCCTAAGTTTTGTCAAGTATCACTTTATCCTTGAGTATGATCTTTATCCTGAACTGTAAGATGCAAGTATCTTTTCTAATTGAGTCTTTTCCTTATCCTTGACTTTGAGATATTAATTTCTCTGACTTCAAATTAATGTTTTCATGGATATTATGGTATTTTATTTGACATAGCAGTGCAAAATGTGTAGTTAAGGTAGTGAAATCTGCTATTTAGAATGAAAAACCTTGAAAAAACAATGCCCTTGGTAAGACAGAAGGAAGTGGCATGCTAAATCTACTAGCACTCTGCTGCTGTGCTATTTTCAGTGTTAACACCAGAACTCAAAGTCTGATGCATTTAGCAAATAGCTAATTTGCCCTTAAAGTTTGTCATTTTAAAAATAGCACTCCCAGCCTCTTGTAAGCAAGCAATTGCAAATACATAGTACAAATAAATTCCCTGCAGATCCTTTTTCATCCCAGTCATTAACCAAAGAGAAACCAGGTTAAACATCTTCATCATTAAGAAAGTCAAACCAGGGTAAACAGACAGGAGCTGGGCTCTGCACTGGTGAGTACCCTGCACTCTGTTTTGAGCAGTGGTGTGACAATAATAGAGGCCAAATTAGAAGCTGTGCTAGGTACTTTCCATGTTTAATTACTCCTGGTACTTAACTGACATCATATTGAAAAGCTTTGTTTTCTTTAATTTTCCTAAAACTGTATGGAAAAACATCCCTTTCTCAAATTAACTGTTCTGGGGAATACCTCATTGTTGCCTCCTTCATTATTATGAAATTTATCTTTTAAAAGGCTTATTAAAACATTGTCTTTAGTTAATATAATTCTTTGATTTTTCTTCAATTTTTCTTCATGTTACTTTTAGAACACCTTCTTTGGTTTTTCCTTGAGTTGCCAAATTTTATTTGAATTGCTGTACCATAGTTATGGTCTTGTCAATACTGTGCAGAATGGAACAGCTACTTTTCATGACCTTCACGAAATACTTCTCTACCTTCATTAGAGAATTTTCCTCTGTACTCGTGCTCTAAACTCATTTTATTTGTGGTTTATTGTAGCCTCAGCTACATTTCTGCAGTGGTTCTGCTGTGTAAACAGTCTCATTTTTATATTTACTACTTTAATTCTTCTTTCTCAGGTGTACCATTTTTTTGTTAAATTTCATAGCATTTCTTTGATAAGGGGCTGTAACCATGTGCTTGAGAATCTTTTTTCAGCATCCAAAAAGTGCTTTTGCTTTCAACTGTATCACTACAGAAAATTCAGAATATAATTCAAAACATATGACAGATCTCCCGTTTCATCTCCCACCATTCCAGGCTAAAAGTAACTATTAGTAACTATACTATGAACATGTTGTTCTCTTATTATTGTCACTTGGTTGTGCAGGCAGTTACTATTATCTTCACCTAAACCACACATTCCTAATTTTCCTAGGTAAATACCAAATTCCAGAAGTTTTAGTAAAGACAAGATGCATAAGTTAAACAACTTCCCCCTAGCCTGATGGCCCTGTGTACTGGGTTTGTGTGGCAAGTTGTTGGTGGCTGGGAGGGGCCACAGGGGTGGCTTCCGTGAGAAGCAGCCTCGTGTCCAGCAGAGCCAATGTCACCCAGCTCCAAGATTCACCCACCCCTGCCAAGGCTGAGCCCATCAGCAGTGGTGGCAACACCTCTGGGATAACAGAGTTGAGGGAAAAGAAGTTATTGTGCAGAAGAAATTAGGGCCAGAGAAGAGAGGAGGGAGAACATATGAGCGGAGCAAGAGACCCCGAGGTCAGTGCAGAAGGAGGGGCAGGAGATGTTCCTGGTGCCAGAGCAGAGATTCCCCTGCAGCCCCTGGTGCAGCCCATGGTGAGGCAGCTGTGTCCCTGCAGCCCAGGGAGGTCCATGGGGAAGCAGAGATCCACCTGCAGCTCATGGTGGACCCACATGAGAACAGGAAGATGTCTGAAAGAGGCTGTGACCTCATGGGAAGTCTGTACTGGAGAAGACTCCTGGCTGGAGCAGCTTTAGTGGGCTCCTGGTCAAGCCAAAGTCAACTCACCTCACCCTGTCAGAGAAGTAAATTTCATTATTGTGGCGTCATGTGCTTTAGAAAATCCATTTCTGTATTTATTCTCATGTTAATATAGTGTCCTAGCTATAAAAGAATTGTTTCAAATTTTTTCCTCTTTTAAATCTTCAATTTTGATCTTCAATTTCCTAGTGACTGCCGTATTTTTATTTATTTTTCTGTAAAGGTAAGTACTGTTTTTCCTCTGGAATGTATCTTACCTTCCTTGAGCAGGAAACCATTAATGATTTGAAAGTCGTTTGGCATGTTCCTGACATTTATTCAGATACTTGACATTTATCTGTATGTCTTTTAACTGCATTATTTTTAGTAATTTCAGTTATGCAGTCTGGGCAATACAAACACTGACCTTACTGGTCTATTTCTCCTTAAAACCTATGTCTCCATTGATTTCTTGGCATGAAGCTGTGTCAAGGGAGGTTTAGGCTGGACATTAGGAAAAGGTTTTTCACCCAGAGTGGCTGGGCACTGGAACAGCTCCTCAGGGAAGTGCTCACAGCACCAGCCTGACAGAGCTCAAGAGGCTCTTGGACAATGTTCTCAGGAGCTCGGTGTGACTCGTGCAGAGCCAGGAGCTGGACTGCAATGATCTTTGTTGGTCCCTCCAAACTCAGGATGTTCTATGATACTATGATTCTTTCCTGATAAGCACAGTCATAAAAACCTTGTTTAGATTTTCTGCTGAGGCTATATCTGTTCTGAACACTTTTTTTACACCTTGATCATCTAGTAGCCCTAGAGACACTCCTGTCAGGCTTTCTACTTATATGAAGGAGTAGTTTCTATTTGTTTTTAAGCCTTTAGCAACATTTTCCTCAAATTTTTTTCTTACCTTAATTTTTCTTTGAGTTCTTTTCTCCTTTATTTGAACATGACTCAAAAGATTATCTTATCTCTAGCAGCTTCTCTAGCTTCATGCTTCATCCCTGCAGACAATCTAGTCTTAGTTTGTGCTTCAGGAATGGCTGGTTATATTTTTAGCTGTTAGGATGATATATATTTAAACCATTTCTGTCATAGCTCCAAATTTTGCATCTTTTGAATTTCATGTGTTATCTGAAAAAAACCTTTTTTTTTTTCTAATTTTATTTTAAGTGATGTCTCTTTTGAGATAAACCACTTCATTAAGGCTTTGGGGAAGAGGACATTGCATTTTTCTAACCTGATGAGTAAGTGAATGCATGTATGAAAACCAAGTATGCTGCCTAATATAGCTGTGGATTGGTTTTGTTTGAGTCTTATTTGTTTTCATTTTATTTAAATTCTAGGATTTCACAGTTGTGGGTTTGGGGTTTTGTTGTTGTTGTTGGAGGTTTTTTCTTTTGTTTTGTTTTTTGGGTTTTTTTTGTGTTTGTTTTTGGGTTTTTTTTTCCTGCTCTTTTTGTTCAAGTCGGGTCAAAATATTTTCCTGTTTGAGTTTTGACATCCTCTATTCTGTTCTGTATTTGAAGGAACACAGGCCTTATGACGTAGTTTGTCATTTTTGCACTATGATTTCACCTTCTGTCTGCTGTCTGCTAAGGGGGTGCTGCCAGGGAGTTCTTCAGTGTTCTCTGTAGTAACTTGCATGTTGCCTCCAGAAGTTGTAACTTGCTGTTCTCTGAATTATGACATGGCACTGCACCGTAGCTGTTGTCCCTGGACTTGCTGTTAAGGTGCTGCCTAGAACAGCACATTGTTTCTTCCTGGTCACCAGAAGGATTTCTACATCAAAACCCTTGTCACGGATGGTCTTGGTGACTGAATCCTTCACCTGTAATAACTCACCTTTCCTTGCCATGTGAAGGGCCAGTGAATTGCAGGGCTGTGTGTGACCATTGTGTGGAGTAGCCATCACCATAAATGGGCTTGGGGACATCATGGTCTTCTGGGACTTCTTTTTTGCATCATGAGTATTGTGAGCCTGCAATGAAATCACTCCATGACATCTCCAGACAGCATTTCTCCTTTTGCTCATAAACTCTACAAATAGGAAGCTGCATAAATAAATGTAATCTTAATAAAAATGGTATTGATAACATATCCTTTAGAGTCACTTGAGAGAGAAACAAAATCTTGGATGGTTCAGTAAATCCTAGAGCTGCACATCACTGTAGAGGGACTTTAGGGTGCCAGTAGTCCTCAGACAGGCAAGGTGAACATGAGGAACATCATGATGTGAATGTGAATTAAGTGCTCAGCCTGTTCAGGAGCTGAACAATTCCCACCAGCTACAGTATTTGGACTCTAAATACCTTTGAAAATCAGATCCATCAGATTTGCAATGTGCTGTACATAGATGAATGAGCTGTTATTTTGGGAAAGGTTGGTGCATGAGTTACACAAGTGGGAGACTTGATGTACAAATGATTTTTGGCATAAGAGAACTAGAACTATGTTAGGCAATCCAAGAGGTCCTGATTCCCACATCAATTTCTGAACTTTTATTTTCTTCTCTTGTTTTTTTCTAAACACAGTGACCTGTAATAGATTTTATTTGTTTCAGTGCCCTCTGGTGTCTGTATTTGCTTTTGTTTAGTTCTGATTTCTTCTCCCTTTTTCTGGCATACTTATGCACTGAGATATCTTTCAGCTCAGACCCTTTGTCCCCTGCACTGTTCTCTCTGACAGGTCCCATTTAACAATACTAGTCTGTCCTTCTCTCAGAAGTGTTTGCAATGTCCTTGGTTTGTGTTATTTATTTATCTCTGTCTTCTTTTCATTTCTTCCTTATTTTTTTTTATAAACTCTAAAAATCTGAGGTTTACTATTCCTTGGACCACGCACCTGCAGTGGTTTCCATGGCAACATGATTCTGCAGGCCCCAGCTGTTTCATTCCTCATTCTTATTAGCAGTTTGCTGGATGCTGGTAAAAAATGCTGTGTGTTTGGAGAGGCAACCTTGCAGCTGAGAGCATGAGCATTTAATTACTTTCAAACTGCTTGTCTAGTTGTAAGTCCAGTCACTTTACCTGGGCTGAGAACACAAGTCAACTCTGACTATTTCACAATCTCATTAGTTGTGCTTCCTTGTAATCTTTGCATATCTACCTTATGCTTAAATTGATAACTCATACTCAATCCAATTATTTCTTATGATCTAAGCCTATTCAGATTGCTCTAATTTTTCCTACGTCTTTCAGGAAACCTGAAAAATAACTGCATTCCTTTAAATGAAATGTTTAAAAAGCTTACTGTATACAAGCAGAAGCTGGGCTGTCAAACCTCCTAAGTGCTGTCACAAAAATACCTCCATCATGTCCCTGAAAGAAAAGTCCTTATTACTTTGTGATGGGGTCTTGAGCAGAGATTATATTGAAAGACTATAATGATCTTTCCATCTGCAAATCTGCCTTAGTTTTATGCCCCTCATCACAGTGGAACTTGAATGTCTAATGAAGAGAAATGATCGGTGAGGATTCAAGGAGAAAATCAATCTTATTTTACTTAGGTCTTAACTTCAACTAATAAAAGTGTAGTGAATTAATGCCTGTTGTATTATTGCCAGTAGAAGTGGTGCTATCATAAGGAGACTGGCTTCATATTTGTTTTATTATTCCCACAAAATAAAAAGCAAAATAAATACTATGAAAAAATATAAACAACCTATTCTGTTTTTTCGTAACTGAACCTCATAAAATTATATCTATAAAATAATGGGTTAAACAAAGACACAGATACACAACTTGAAGTACCAGTAACATGGAAGATAGGGTTTAGCTAAAAGATGAATACTTTTGACAGTCAAACAAAAAGGAAAAAGTTCCTCACACATTAAACCACTGGTGTCAGAATTTGAAGAATCAATTTATACGAGAAAGCAACAAAGAGGAACTGTCTGAGAAAATAGGAATTTTAAGATGGCCTAGTAGATGTTTTTTTGAACATCTGAGATGCTGGATAAAACCAACTAGATGAGCTACATTTGTGTCTGGTTCATGAAATACAAATTTATTGAAATAAAAACATCATTGAAAGGTGTTATTTTGATACCTCTTTCAAAAGAGCTTTCAACATAGTTTAAAGATGAACATAATCTTTATTTCTAAACTACTTCACTGAAAGAATTATTTTGGCTGCTTTTATAGCAACATTAAATTGTAAGAATTATTCAAGTGTGATATCATCAATAATATAAACAATGTTATTGCATTTTGCTAGGGCTTTTTTTTCCTTTAGAATTTCTCTTATGCTTAGTTCCACATAATTACTTAAAATAGACCAGAAATTCAATGTCCTGATTTTAGGTATATTTATTAATTTGTAAATTTTTAATTTTTTTCTTCTAAATTGCTAAATAGACCAATTTATTTTGTGTTTCACATGAAGAAATTATATTCTATGTACTTTAAAAAATAAAAACTGGAGAGAATCTTAAGGATCAATTACTCACATTACTAATGTGAAGGGAAGAATTAGTAAAATTGTTGGTATTACCCAGTTTGCTTTTCTCTTAATGTTGGAATAAAGATATGATTTGAATTAAGGATTGTTCCCATCTCTTTTTTAGTTTTCATGAAGCAAATAGGAAAAAAGGCATTGCTGTCTTCTAATTGCAACCTGGGATATACAGGTGGAGCTGGAATCTCCTCTCATGTGGCCTGGTGATCTGCAAAAAGATTCATCACTTCAAGCACAGAATAACTGAGGGGTCTTATGAGTTTGGGGGTGCATTTCCCACCCCACAGATTGTTCTGTAGTCATGCCTCTTCAAGTGAATTCTTGTGTATGTCTTTGTTCTGAATAAGTGTTAATGAAGATATCCTATGGATCTTTTAGTGGAGGGGAAGTAAAAAAACCCCTGAAAACTGTCTACAGAATATGGACAATACAGGAGTTTTATGGTTATTGGGTATGCAGCAGATATTTAATTGATTGAAAGTATTTATTCTGTGTTTTGTATATGTACATATGTACACATTTACTATAGAATTGGTGATCAATAAACACCAGTCACAGTTTCTGTGGAGTGCTGAGAGAACTGCACTGCCCTCCTTAAGCCTGCAGTGCCCGTGGAGGGGAGGTTCCTCTGCACAGCTCAGTGTCTTGGTTGGTTTAGTGTTTGTCCTGAACATATGGGTCAAGTTGACAGGATCATTGAACAGTTTGGGTTGGAAGGAACATTAGGAGGTCACCTAGACCAAGCCTTCTGCAGTAAGCAAGGACATCTTCAACTAGGTCAGGTCACTGAGTTCTGTCCTACGTGACCTTGAACACTTCCAGGGATGAGGCATCCACCATCTCTCTGGACAGCCTGTGCCAATGTCTCACCCCCCCTCATTGTAGAAAACATTCCTTTTATCTGATCTATACCTACCCTCCTTCAATTTAAAACCATTACACCTTGTCCTGTCACTACAGACTCTATGAAAATAAAGTCTGTCTCCATCTTTCTTCTCAGCCCCCTCTATTTACTGATGGGCTGCTGCAGCGGGGGCTGAGGACATGAGCACCAGCCCAGAGCTCAACAATGGGTGTCCAGGCCCCCAGGAAGAGTGATCACAGGCTAGAGCAGGAAAAGACTGAATTTCAAGACTGTATCTTGTGTTTCCCGGGTCTGCATTGCTCTTCTGTGTACTTCAGTTTGAGTGAAAAATGAGAGCTGTGTGCTGTTCTAAATAAATGGAGCTATCTGCTTTTTGAGTCATTATTTAATCACTTAAATTAATTTTGTTTTCAGAAAGCTGCAGTGTGTGATTTGGGCTAAAAATTATCTGTTTTTATTCACTAAAACTTCCTCTGCTTCAACATCTTATTTTTTTTAAGGATTGTCCAGTAGAGTGGACTCAAGATCTGGACAAGTAATTTATTAATTATTCTAAAATTAATTCTAATTCTTGTTTTATAAAGGTGAAGTTCTTCAGTTTTTAATGTATTGCTCTATTTCAGCCCCAGTACACTCAGAATAATATAGCTGGAATGTATTAAAAAATATTAGTTAATGATTTGGAACATTTTTCAGGCCAAAATGAACTTGCTAATTGTGGAAAATAATGATTTATGTATATATTCCTATGTGGAGTACAATGTTTTATCTATCTGTGCAAGTCTGTACACTAGGATAAATACAGGATTCGAAAGTGAAATACTTGCAAGGAAAATAAATAGTACCTGTAGTGAATATCCCTTTTCACAGCCACAAAATGCATAAACATTAGAATAGATTATGGATCTAGGGAGGGTGGAAATGCCATTTAATTTTTTTTCTTTTTTTTCCCTTGTCTGCCAGGTTGGAAAGAGTCACAACAGACAGAGAAAATGAGTGTCGATTAACCATCCACAAACGCTACCTTGACCCAGCTGCCCCCTGGAACTTCAGCGTGGTGTTTGTGGCTGAACTACCTTTTCCAGCTAGTGAATAAAATTTTTGTGTCAAAAACGTCACAGTTCAGCATTTGGCTTCTTACTGCTGAATTTTTCTTATTGAATGAAAAAGGATCAGTCTATGCCACTTGCAGAATTCTGACCATCTGATGGGAATGAGATAAACAGTTTTAAGCTGACAGGGTAGGCTCAGCAATGGTCACACTGCTGCTTTATGTGAACCTACTTCTGCAGATTATTTTTCTTAAAAGTTCATATTATAAAGTATTACCACAAGAAAGATTTGGATTCTGACATGAGATGACAACAGCTGTTGATAGAGATGAGAGCAGCTAAGAATGGCCACTGGCATCTTCTGTGATGATAATATCTGTGATATTATGCAACCGTGTCTTGTGCCTGCACTCTGAATTTGCCTGGGCTACAAAAGTTTTCTGGTTTTTGTATTTTTTTTATTATGGTGCTGTAAGTGACCCCTGCTGTGTGTTTACAGAGGATCACACTTAGTTGCCAAGGGGAGAATGATGCTATGTATCCGATGTGCACTCTTCACACAGTAAGGAGACATCGTGTGGCCAATGTGCTGATGGATCTTGTCACAGGCAGACCAAGACAGAAACAGCAAATCACACTGAAACTAAAAAAGAAATCCCCAGGGACTTGCTGAGCACTGTGGAATAGTTGCCATATGCATGCTGTGTGAGGAACAAAAGCAATTACCAGTTAACTGGTTTCATTGGTTTGGTGAAATAGAAAGGAGATGCTGGGTTGCATGCTGAGAGGCTGCCAGCAATGCCTGCACAGCTGGGGGTGAGGAGGAAGTGACAACTGTCTGTCACCTTGAAATGACACTCCATCTTTTGTCTTCCTTCTGCCTGACACCTCAGCACAATGTGTAATTTGGCTTTGTGCTTCTTTGCTTCTAAAGCACCTTCAAAAACTTGTAGTGGGGCTGCCAATATTAACGAAAAGGATTGCTGTGCAGTGAACATCTATGCTCATGGATGCTGTGCCGGCAGAAACAAGACGCTTCCATGACTCAGCATTCTTTTAAACCTCTCCCCAGTCTTGGCTGAAACAAAAGTTTGTTTGCATTCATGAAATCTTTTCAGATTTACTGGGACAAGGCTCCTGTCCCAATAGGTAAGAGTGCTGCATTGAACAGGTGACACTCAATTCCAGATTTGGATGAGGATTAGAGTTATAAAAGTATGTGCTCTCTTGACAGGATTATGTTTAAAACCAGAGCTCTTAATATCTGAGAGCCTGCCTGTCCCCAGGCACAGGGCTATGCCCCATACAGGGAATAACCTGGCTCAGCCCTCTGAATACAGAGCTAGCAGCTATGTCTCTCATTAGATTGCTGGAGCTGTGATTTACATGAATTTGGACAGGTGGTTAGGGAAGTCAAGAATGGTCATGAGAAACGTGTTTGGTTTAACAAAATAGTTAGAAGTGCTGATGCTTCTGGAATGAAAATTCCTTTATATTGTCCATGGAACACCTAGTGAGATCCAGGATAACAGCTACCCTTGTGAAAGAGAAGATGAAATAAAAGATGATTTTATCACCTGAGAAACAGCTTTACTTCAGTCTTACCTTTCCGTAGTGGTATATAAACCTTCTGTGCGTCTTGGCACCAGAAACATATTAACAATGAATAGTTTTTGTTGTGATGTTTTTTTGAGATACCATCTGTGCAATGAAATGCAGATCTGCTGGAATGCTTACGTTGTGGAAAAAGAGCTGGAAATGGAGTTGAACTTTACAAACAGTTGGGGTTAATCTACATATAGCAATTACTTCTGTTGTCAACAGTTTAGAATTACCAGTTCAGAAAGGTTTAAGAGAATTGGACCTCTTTTAAAATGAAGTGTAAGCTATATGTAAATGAGCCTGTGCTGCCTCAAACTCCCTTTCAGTCCTACCACGTAAGACAGGCTTGCAGGGACTTCTTATTAATGATCTTCGTGTGGCTGTGGCAGGAAGCCTCAGCAGAGCCCGAAGGTCCATTCCACTTTATGCACAAATATGTTGTCTGCTGGTGTCTGTACCAGAATGACAGAGAAGGGATGTCAGTCCCAAGGATTCTTTTGCAGGAGGAAAAAAGTTTCAGTCAGAGATGTGCACTAATCATGTACCATTTACTTCTTATTAGTATTTAGTAGTGACAGCAGCAAGTGTGCTCCGCTGATAAACAAAGTCAGAAGGAGCAGAGTGGGACAACCTCTCAGTACAATCAGGGTGGGAAAGGGCCCATTAAAATGATAAGACACACTGACTTTATCTGTGACTCAAGACTTAAAAGGATTTAATAGCCACTAAGCACACTGCTGTTCAGCAAAAGGTCAGCATGACTTTACCATGAATGAGATAGCAAATTTTGCACTGTTTATGTTTTGAATGCTCAGTACATGCATAATAATAAAATCCCCCAGACATCTGACACCATTCCACTGTTGAGTCTGCCTCAAAACTATCCCTGATATTTTTGTAAAGAGGACCAGGCACAGACATATCTAAGTAATGATTCTCTTGAAAGAGCAAGAAGTGAAAGTCTATTCCCTGTAAAGTGAACCCAATGGTAAAGTATGCCGCAAGAACCTGATTTACTCTTGTATTCAACATTTGTTTTAAGTGCAGTGCAAATGAAATGAGGCAAGGGACCTTTGTAAGCTCAAGTTGCCATCTGTAGTAAGAAAAAGAATCTTATGCTAGAACTAATTACATGACTTTAGGGATCTTACAAAAGAAATATCCAGAGGATCCTCTTGGTGATCCATTCTTTCTCACAAATCAAAATAGGTGAAGAAAAGAAAGTCCTGGAGCTCAGCCAGTGGTTATGTGAATGATTTAAAACTAAAGGTCTTGTTTCTGAAAAATGGCAGTACCCTGGTCTGGTGCTTCTGCCAAAAATGGTTGTAAAATTGAAATTGTTCATCTTCCCTTGAGGGCACTAGTTCTGTCAGCCAGCAACTATCTGGGACAGCCACAAGTGTCTTAAAACAGCAGCTTGAAAGGAGACAAAGTGGGTGTTAGACAAACTCAGTCTTCCATGAATAAGTTGAGCAAAGAATCATTTAGCTGTAAGTTCTTGTTTCCAGGGCTAAGGTGTTTCATGCAATGAAGTGAAGCAAGGCAGCAGTGTTTTCTTCTATCTAGTTAGAATATATATTTGCTGTGGTTATAATAAACATAAAATATATTTAGAACTCTAATTTTTCACGTTTTTAATAACATGTTTTTCACATAAAATGTCCTGTTTTTCACTAGTTGATTTGTTCCTAATTTTTTTCTGCTGTGGTGGTAAAGGTAAGCTATATCCTTGGGTGCTGGATAAGGATAGTAGAGAGTAGGAAAAAAAGTTAATTTTCATCTAACATTGCTGAGTCAGTGAATTAGTAATTTAAGTCTTCACAAATACAATAAAATTACTGAGAACTTAGAACTGATTCATAGCTGTCTTACAGTGAGAAGCTTAGGCAGATGAAAGTTCTACAAAAGACTATGAGGTGTTCTGATATTTGGGGATAAGACTCTCCTAAGTAGAGCAAACAGAGGACTGAAAATGTTTTATTTTTATTTTTTTTTTTTTGTAACAGTAGATATAATTAACCACTTGAACAAACATTTTTTTAAAAAAGTGATTTTTTTAACCTTTTACTATTTTTGTTGGTATTTTCTCTCAGATGACCAACCTTTAGTAAAACTCATATAATTCTACAGTAAATGCAAGGAGTAACATCTTGTCAGGTGAGCTGATCTCCAAAATTCTTTCCTTTAGAACTTTACTAATTTATCCTCATTTTAGACTCAGTGCCCTTCTGCACACAGATATAGATTAAGGCACATAGATACCATTCTACCTTACCAGGTACTGTTACTCACACGACTCACACGTAAAGTCAGTTAGAAGGTGCTCATTTTCAGTATCTCTCCTATATCAATTTATATGGAGAGTTTTCAAGGCTACTTTTTTAATTATTTTGTCGACTTCCTATGATTTTATCAGCTGAAAAAAGCCTCACTGTTCTTTCAGGTTATATTACCTGTACTTGTGTGATTTATTTACATAATTGTTTCCATTTAGAGATTTCACTGCTCGCTAAAACTGGGATGTGTTATTGCAGTTTTGTAACTGACAAGAGTTCAAGAATATAAGGCTTATTTTGAGACATGAGCTAATATTATTACCACCATAACTTCAAGAAATGTATTGATTAATATTTAGTAGAAATAACCCTTTATTTACTCTGATACTGCAGCAATCCTGTAGCATCAAATTAAGCCATTTTGGCTGGCCATGGAGCTACCCCCCCCATATAGGAGAGTTATTTAGATAAGGTTTTACTGTCCCTTAAAGATGAATCCTATTCTGTTCTTTATGGCTGTGATTCTGCAGTCACCCAATAGGGATGTCCTGGAAAAAAATCCTACCCATAAGAGGAAAGTGGTTGTAAGCATCATAAGCCAACCCCAAGAAATTGAAAAGGCATGCATATAGAAAGTCCTGATGGCTCCTTCCATTTCCTATGCTTGAGTCCAGACAGTGTGTAACGTGTGTCTCGTAAGTCACAAAAGCAATCATTACTCCAGAGGTTAATTAGACAAGAGAAAGGAGAAGATGAAATTGCAAGGAGAGATGGAATGATTCACCTACTGTGACACCTGACAGAGGAGGAATGCTGCCTTTCCCTGCTCCCGAGGCAGGAGCAGAGGCAGGGAGCTAGCAGCACTATCCCAGCACCTGGGAGTGAGAAGGTATGGACACTTTGCTTTGCACATCTGGTTCATAACATTGTTGCTGTTAAAAAAAGCTGTGTGTAAACAGGAGAGAGCTGTAATAATTACAAACACGTTGGGTAAAATTTTAAAAACTCATCTGGTTTGTGAATGCATGCCTGCCCAGCAAGGCAGGAGCCTTGGAGAGAAGAGTACATGGGCAAGACACATGAAGATTGTTTCAAAAAAAGCAGAAGGAATCTTTTTAGAAAACTTTTTTGGGCATTCACTGTGTGAATCTTGTAGGTGATGTCCTGCTTTCTAAAGGAATTAGAAGT